CATACCAGGGACCATGGAGACTTACAGTACCTTTGCTTCCTGCATGGACCCTGGCAGGATTTATATCAACCCTTCAGTCACTGGCGATAGTTTACCAATTAAGCCTTATATTAAAATGACAAAAATACAACGTCTTAAGATCTGGCATGCATAAAGATACTTTGAATGATGCGGAACTTACATAAAAAAAAATCAAGGACAATAATTTTACGCTTCTTCAACTCCCCTTGAGGGTACAGCCACTAACCATCTCAGTTATGAATTTGCACTACCAATTTATAAAATAAAACATTAATACATTCAAATTTTATGAACAAGTTCAATTTCTTTTAAAAAAACCATAATATTAAACGAGAATTAACATCATTTAAAAGGTCCTTAATTGTTTTAACATTGAAATATTTATACCTTGTGATGGAAAAATCAATACAGTCAAGCAGGACATGCTTGACCGTGGTTACTCCATCACAAGGGATAAAAAACGGAAGATCCTCACCTTTTAACAAATATTCATGTGTATATCTTGAATGGTTAATACGGCATCGCCGCATAACGACCTCTTCAATCAAATCTGGACTGACAGCCCAAGTAGGTGTAACCGATATTTGGTTTAATTTCATGTAATTTATTGATACCTACCTGGGTGTCCCACTTCTTTTGCATCAGATCTCGGATGTAACATCTGATGAGAGGTTTGATATCAGTGTATGGGATACAAAGTGGTGTCACAGGTTTTCTGAGTGCTGCTTTTGCAGCAGCATCTGCCATTGTGTTCCCAGTGATTCCAACATGGGTAACCAACAGAAAACGATGTTGCATTGGCCAGGAGCAAGATCATTCAACAATTTCTATTATAAGTGGATGTGTGTCTGACATGTTTTTAATAGCCTGGAGGCAAGAAAGAGAATCTGAAAAAATTATGAACTGGTTATGTTTAGATTGTCTGTTGATGTATTTAAGTGCTGTTGAAATAGTATTTGCTTCTGCTGTAACAAATGAACAGTTTTCTGGTAATCGGGATGAGATAAACCTGGATCCAATGACGGTGGCGCTGGCAACAGCGTCACCATCTTTGGATCCATCTGTAAATATAGATTTGTAAGTGTCATATGTGCTTCGTAATTCGTTATATTGTTGTTGATAGATTAGTTGGTTTGTGGTAGATTTCTTTAGTTTAGTTAATGTTAGGTCTACCTCTGGCTTCACAAACTGCCAGGGTGGAGAAGAGAAAAGCAGAGGGGGGGGGGGGGGGGGGGGGGGGGGGGGGGGGGGGGGGGGCAATGTTTTCAAGATTTAATTTCGCAGCAGAGAGGTGAGATTGTATTCTTATTCCAAGAGGTGGAATAAGAGATGATTTTGTTTGGTAGAGATTTTTGTGAAGTGGATTAAAAACACAGTCATAAGCTGGATTGGATTTCGAAGAACGTAATTAGACATTTATTGCAAAGATAATTTAATGCGACGTTGATGAAGGGACGGCTCATCAGCCTCCACATACAGACTTTGTATCAGCGAAGTTCTGAAGGTTCCAAGGCAAAGCCTCAGCCCTTGATGGTGAATAGGATCTAGAATTTTTAAATTGCTTTTACAAGCTCCACAAAAAATTATGGAGCCATAATCTAGTTTTAAGCGGATAAGTGCTCTGTATAGTTGCAGGAGGGTTTTCTTATCTCCTCCCCACTTAGAGTTTGAGACAACTTTTAGTAAGTGCAGGGCTTTCAGATATTTATTTTTCAAATATTTAATGAGGCAGAAAAGTCAAATGGTGATCAAGATTTGAGAGTATATTAGACATCACCTTAGACATGTAGATCTCTGTCGTTAATGACCGGTATGGATAGAAAACAAATTTCTCTTCCAGTTAATAGATATCTTTGCTTAATTATGGTGTGTTGATCACGAGTGGAGGACATTTCCCCACCCGGACAATTCACCATACTGGCATTTCAACAAATGGGCTTTTCCCCACACTGAATAATACAAATGATGTAAAACAACAGACATGTAATTTGCAATACAGTTATATTTACAAGTTGTCGCACCTACCTCTTAACAGAGATGACACTGGAGATTGGAACAAAATGACTTCTTTTATTTCATTAAACATGCTGGAGGTTGGAATTGATCCTGTTAAGGTCGAACAAACACTGGAACTCGAATTCAGATTGAAATCGAAATGATTAAGAGAATTTATTACAATTTGCCGCACATGGTATAACAATTTGCCGCAGTTTGTTATATTCTGCCGCTCTAACCTCTCAACAGGAATGATTGAAACTGAAACAAAATCGCTTTTTTATTTCCTTAAACAAACTGGAGGTTAGACTTGATCATGTTAAGGTCGAAGAAACACTGGAACACCGAATTCTGTTCTGAGTAAATACAAATGTTTCGAAGCGTAGTCGCGTAGTTGCCAATTGTCGACTTCTTGTTAGTCATTCCATTGGTCAAAGTTCGGGAAAGGTCGGTCTGACGTGACCTGTAATGGGATGTCCTGAGATCTTTGTTTAGCGGTAGCGAGAACTGAGATCTGATTTTAATGAGATTAATGTGGCCTGATCTTTCGATCGTGAGTTCGAATCCTAGATTAGCTCTGTTTGTGTAATCTTTAAATAACATCACCCGTCACAATTTTAGAAGTGCGATTGCGATTTTAAATCCACACGAATCTTGCTCTGATATATTTTTCTTTTCTTTCGCTCTTTCCGAGACGATATGCTACTTTCTTAATGCAAATGTCCTGCTTGTTGTAGTATGTGTCAGTGAACTTTTTCCAAGGTTGATAGTTAAATGCACCGAGTTGATTAAAATTATACATCGTGATGAATGTCATCTTGTGATGATATGGTTTTATCTGGTCACATTGCCAATATGATAGCAAAATGAAGTATCCCATTTCGTTGGACTTTAAATTTGTGACATGTAATATGTGTGACTTTAAGTGAAAATAGTATATCACACTTGTGTGTATATATATATATATATATATATATATATATATATATATATATATATATATATAAATATATATATATATATATATATATGTTACAGGAAACAAGTATAATCAGTGATTAAGTCTAATGACTGAAAATTTCAGTGATTATGTCTAATAACTGATTCACTCGGTGGTTATGTCTAATTACTGAAATCTTCAGTAATTAGACATAATCACTGAAATGAACCAAGGGATTTTATACTTGTTTACTGAAAGCATATTCCTGCCTTGTTTTTATAATGTGTGCTAGTTTTGAAATTAGATTAGCTATCAAAGTAAATACAACCTCCTGTAACCAGATACCTTACACAAAAATCACAGAAATAAGCTTAAACAGTTCAATCTTTCATTTCATAAAATGGTATGACGTGAATGACAAATAGCAGTCAGATGGACACTCAGGAATGTTTGTTTGCACATGAAAGACGTGAATGACATCTAGAATTACATTGCATCTTGGCCTTAAAACATTTGCAGCGATTGCTCTGACACCGTTTAGTTCCAACACAATTACACCTTACAAAGCCTTGACCACCACAGACTGAGTCAAGTTGAACCGCTTGACGCAAAGAGAGTCTTCGATCGGTATTGAAATCGTCAGCATTATACAGTTTGGTGACGCATACATCATACTGGTGATAGGCGACTTCAGAAGCACGTTTAGACGTTAGGGTACGCAACACAACAAACTTGGTAAGATGATCTTGGTAAACCATGATCCACTTATACTGGCCTTGACTCATTGACTGCATGTCGATGAGGTTCACTTGAGCCCTTGAATTAAAGTCCTTGGAAAGAATGGGCTTGACAACGGTCCCCTTGTTGGTTGGTCGCTTCCTCTTCCGCTGGCACTCCGTACACATGGATTTGAAGAGGGAGATTGAATCAATGGTGATGTTGGCATACTTCTTATTTATTTCATGAATCATCTTATCTCTTCCGCCACGACCAGTTGCCAGGTGAGCGCGCTTGATAGAGTCGTACGTATCTTCGATGGTCACGAAATACAGTGGATCTTCCTCTGATGACTGGCGTCGTTTGATCAACTTGTCAACGTCACCACACTTCAGTACTTCATACTTCTTCAGGAGGTAGTAGTGGTGTGGTGTCTTCTGAGTGGTACTGGAGGCTTCTAGCAAGTTGTTCATAGATTCCAAGTAAAGCTCCTTCGGGATGAGGACACGCCTGTTTTCCTCATACATCTTGTACAGTGCATCTCTGAAGGTATCGTGAGGCTCCATAGTCAAAGTGTGAGGTATCTGGTCAAGGTGAACCATTTATATGTGTTTGCCTGATTGGCTTAGGACAGGATTATGAAGCCTTCTCACAAATTATTATAAAAAGGCAGGAATATGCTTTCAGTAAACAAGTATAAAATCCCTTGGTTCATTTCAGTGATTATGTCTAATTACTGAAGATTTCAGTAATTAGACATAACCACCGAGTGAATCAGTTATTAGACATAATCACTGAAATTTCCAGTTATTAGACTTAATCACTGATTATACTTGTTTCCTGTAACATTATATATATATATATATATATATATATATATATATATATATATATATATATATATATACTCTTGAAAAGCACATGCGTGAAACCGGTTGAGTAAATTATACAGCTCATCTTTGGACTTAAATATGTATGTTTATATATATAAATAACTCGATGACACATTGAACACATATTGAAATTTTTTGGACCTTATTTCCTGAAGATCTATGTCACCTTAGCTGTAGGTTCATGAACACTTATGGCCATCGTATTGTACATACTGATGTCATAGCCAACTAATCACGTACTACAAGCTATTAATATGCACGACATGAACAAAGTAAATATCAATCAACCTGAGTTGCAGGTCATTAAATGGTATTTGTCTGATTTGATTGAATATTCTGCACAAGTACACCTTATGGAGACACATTTTAGCGAAAAGACATGTAGGCATGATGTTTCGAATCGCACGGTAAAAGAGGAAATTTCTTTGTATTAGAATCTCGACCTACTCGACAACCAGACTTCAAGACAACAGTTGCTACATCGTCAATCGCCGCTATTCCTACAACCACAGCAAAACCGGCTGTAACAGTTGATCAAAATGCAACAGGTAAGCAAACACAGAAACTAAGAAGAGAGATAAGTATGGTCACAGTATCAATATACAATTTAAATGAAGTAATAATAACAGGGATATATACATTTTGAATAACCTCTGTATTTTACAACTGTACATGTTTGTTTGTTTATTGTTTAACGCCACACTTAGCACTATTCCAGCTATATGACGGCGGTCTGTAAATAATTGAGTCTGGACCAGACAATCCAGTGATTGACATCATGAGCATCGATCCACGCAATTTGGATTACATGTAAAAGTCGGTAAGTGTTGCATGTTGTATGCAGAACCATGGATCCATAAAAAAATGGGTAGAGAATAAGTCGTCGTGCTTGTCGTAAGAGGCAAGGGTGGTCTTTGACTTGCGTGATGCATATAATCGTATCCTAATTGGGTGGATCGATGTTTATGATTCCAATCACTGGATTGTCTGGTCCAGACTCGATTATTTACAAACCGCTGTCACATAGCTGGAACATTGCTTAGCGCGGCGAAAAACAACAAACAAACGAAAGAACATGATCGTGTGCAAATGTAGCATATTTTATTAACATGTCTACCGATGTGACTTTTAATTTAAACTCACTCACTCACTTGAGTGTACTAGCATATACCTGGGGTTGCAAGTTGGATACACACTCATCAAACACAGTACTTGCGCTGCGCCGATGTGCACAATGCACGTGCGCAGGCTTTGAGAGAATTTACACTTCTGGCTGTCAGGATGAATACCACGGTTTTGAAACTGACGATATTAGAAGACCGGTACTGCATTTATAGGAAGTGGATGAAGAAAAGAGCTATATATCTATTGAAATACATTCTTCACAATAACGGGTAAGTGATATAATTGTATGATTCAATAACTAGTATTGATGTACCTGTTAATGGGAATAAATCCTAACTAGTGAGTGAGTGAAATAATATTTAAAGTCACATCGGCAATATTTCAGCCATATCGTGACTTGAACAAGTTATGGCATATGTAAAAAAAACTGTCGGCAAAGGACAGTACAACAACTGGCAATATATCACAGATTATAACTTTAAAACTAGTTTTAGAACAATAAAATTATTGGATTATGACAGACGACACATCATAAAAACAGGCTATTGATCACCAACAACTAAAGTTAGGCCACTATACCAGGGACCATGGGGACTTACAGTACCTTTGCTACATGCATGGACCCCAGCAGGATTTACACCATCCCTTCAGTTATTGGTGATTGTGGATAAATTTAGACAAAAACAAGTATTTGTCACAGAAGTGACGAAATGTCCCCCGCCTGTATATACACCAAAATACCAAATATGAAGACAATCCAGCGATTAGTTCTTGAGATATCGCGGCAACACCGTTTTCCAACTCCAAAAGCAGATTTGCCTGCTGTGACCTTGAAAATAGGGTCAAGGTCACCAAAACCGACTGGTGTCTGCGGTGTCTGTATATACACCATAGTTCCAAATATTAAGACAATCCTGCGATTAGTTCTTGAGATATCGCGGCAACACCGTTTTCCAACTCCAAAAGCAGATTTGCCTGCTGTGACCTTGAAAATAGGGTCAAGGTCACCAAAACCGACTGGTGTCTGCGGAGTCCCTATATACACCCTAGTACCAAATAGGAAGACAATCCAGAGATTAGTTCTTGAGATATCGCGGCAACACCGTTTTCCAACTCCAAAAGCAGATTTGCCTGCTGTGACCTTGAAAATAGGGTCAAGGTCACCAAAACCGACTGGTGTCTGCGGAGTCCCTATATACACCCTAGTACCAAATAGGAAGACAATCCAGAGATTAGTTCTTGAGATATCGCGGCAACACCGTTTTCCAACTCCAAAAGCAGATTTACCTGCTGTGACCTTGAAAATGGGCTCAAGGTCACCAAAACCGACTGGTGTCTGCGGAGTCCCTATATACACCCTAGTACCAAATAGGAAGACAATCCAGAGATTAGTTCTTGAGATATCGCGGCAACACCGTTTTCCAACTCCAAAAGCAGATATGCCTGCTGTGACCTTGAAAATGGGGTCAAGGTCACCAAAACCGACTGGTGTCTGCGGAGTCTGTATATACACCATAGTTCCAAATATGAAGACAATCCAGTGTTTAGTTCTTGAGATATCGCGGCAACAAACAGGTGGGACGTACGGACGGACGTACGGACGGACGTACGGACGGTCGTGAATACTATATCCCCCGCTTCGCGCTTTCGCGCGGCGGGGGACAATTAAAACAAACAATCATTCTACGATTAAAAACCTGGTATATATGAATTACTTTGAATGAAGTGGGCTTACGCACCCTCTCTGGGGGACAATAATTTTACGCTCCTTCAACCCCCATCAAGGGTACAACCACTAACAATCTCAGTTCATAATTATATAACCAATTTATAAAATATATAACTTTCTACATGAAAATTTATTAATCAATTCAATTTCTTTTAAAAACCAATAATTAAATGAGAGTTTATGTTAAAAAGGTCCTTGAGTGATGAAACTTTGAAATAGTTATCCCTTGTGATGGAAAAATCAATACAGTCAAGCAGGACGTGCTTGACTGTGATTCTTTCATCACAAGGGATGCAGAATGGAGGATCTTCACCTTTTAAAATATATTCCTGAGCATGGGTCTCAGTTGTAAAAATAGAACTTTTACCAGGAATTCTCGAAAACACCCTTTTAGATCCAATGACAGTGGCACTTGAAACTTTGCTACCATCCTTTGAACCATCGGTAAAAATAGAGCGATGAGAATAATATTTGGACCTTAATTGGGAATATTCTTGTTGATATACCTATGGGTTTGTGTCAGATTTGTTTAGGGTAGTTAGTGTTAGGTCTACCTCTTGTTTAACTAGTTGCCAAAGAGGTGTAGACAGTAGCCGGGAAGGTGAGATAGTAGAAAGATCAATATTAGCTGCTGTAATATGTGGCTGAATTCTGAACCCTAGAGGAGGAACAAGTTTTGGTTTTGATTGAAATAATTTATCATACAGGGGATTAAATACACACTCATATGCTGGATTCGAAGGATTTGAGTATAACTTAGTGACATATTGTAATGAAAGTTTGAGTCGACGTTGTTTTAGAGAAGGCTCATCAGCCTCTACATATATGCAATCAACTGGTGATGTTCAAAGGCACCAAGACAAAGCCTCAGGCCTTGATGATGTACTGAATGAAGTTACTTTTACAGGCTCCGCCATATATGATGGAGCCATAATCGAGTTTGGAACGGATGAGAGATCGATATAAATGAAGTAGGGTTATCTAATCCCATTTTGAATGAGAAACGACTCAATTGCCTTCAGACATTTTGTCTTCAGATATTTTATGTGAGGTAAAGATGTTAAATGATTATCAAAAATAATACCCAAGAACTTGGCTTCCTTAACTTTAATAGGAAAACCAACCAAAAATAGCTCAGGGTCTTTATGAGGTTTATACTTGCAGCAAAAATGGATACAGTTTGTTTTGATTTTAGAGAACTTAAACCAATTCTAAAGTGACCATTTCATAATTTTATTGAGGCATAACTGTAGCTGTCTCTCAATGGTGTGCATATTTTTACCACGACAAGATATAATTAAAATCATCAACGAAAAATGATCCATCCACTGTGTCACTTAAAACCTTTGGAAGACTATTGATTTTAATACTAAATAAAGTAACAGACAAAATACTTCCTTGACACCCTGCTCCTGATTATAATGGTCAGACAGGGTTGAACCCACTCGGACTTGAAATTGCCTGCCGGCTAAAAACTGTGATATAAAATGTGGTAAGCGGCCTCTCAGACCAAACTCGTGTAAATCTTTTAAAATGCCATGCTTCCAGGTAGTGTCGTAAGATTTCTCAAGATCGAAAAATATTGACACTGCATGTTGTTTGTTGACAATAGCATTTTTTACAAACGATTCCAATCGTACTAAATGATCAATAGTACTTCGATTTTTGCGGAAACCACATTGAACATTTGTTAGTAGATTATTGGTTTCTAAGAACCAGAGTAATCTATTATTTACCATTCGCTCCATGGTTTTACAGACACAACTGGTTAAAGATATAGGATGGTAATTTCAGGGATCTGTATGATCCCGACCAGGCTTTGGTATAGGGACTACAATGGCATCATGCCACGAAGGAGGAAAATTCCCCGACGTCCATATTTTGTCAAAAATATCTAATAGGGTTTCTAGACATGATTTAGGCAAATGTTTCAGGAGCTGATAGTGAATATTATCAGTACCAGCTGCTGTATCATGAGCTTGCCCAAGGGCAGTATGTAGCTCATGGAAGGAAAACATTATAGTCTTCCCCATTATCAGAGTTTAAATTAACATTTTTCTTTTGCTGTTGTTTTTGATATTTCATGAATTCAGGGACATAATTAGATGATGATGAATGTTTTGCCAATATTTCACCAATATTTCATCAAGTTTATTGGCAATGTCTGATTTATCAGTTAATAACTGATCACCTTCCTTAAGATGGTGAACAGAAGACTTTGATCCTTTGCCTTTAATTTTTTGTATCATACTTTGGATATAGGAGTACGGGAATTTATTTTGGAAATGTAGTTTATCCAAGATTGACGCTTATTTTGTTTATAAGCCCGCCTTTTGCAATTTGTAATTTTTACTTTTCCGCTTTCTTCCTACACTTCCGTGCCTGTTTACATTCATAGGTAAACCACGGTTTGCGAATATGAGGATTTGAAGAGGACTTAGGAATTGTTTGATCAGCTATTTCATTGAGCTGATCTGAAAACAATTGAATCGGATCTTCAACATTTTGAAAATGATGAGGGATTAATTTTGCAGTACACAATGTTTCATACAATGACCAATTGGCCTTTGTAAAATTCCACCTGGATGTGGAGGTTTCAGGATTCGGGTTCACAGATTTAAGAATGGTGGGAAAGTGATCGCTTCCGCAGAGGTCATCATTGACCGACAATTCAAACTCGTTAATATTAACATA